TTGAAGGTCACTACACAGGGTGGCTTTAGAAAAGTGTCTGTCTGTCTCTCTCAGCCTTGATTCTCCATCTGCAGTATGGGGATAATGTAGCACAGGTCTACCTTACAGGGCTGTTGTAAGGAACATAGCAATATACTCAATGTGAAGCGCTTTGAGCACATGGGAAGTGTTACTTTAAAGGATCCCCCTGCAACTCTCTTACGTCATTTCTCTCTCTCTCCCTCCTTCTCTTTCCTCTCCAACTTTACCCTCCTCCCCATGTTCCTTCTTCCTTTCCAGATTGTGTTAGAATTGTTTATTGAATTATTTTCTGTTTCCTTTCATACTACAATAGCAGGCTGGAACAAAAAACAACAACCCCAAAACAACAAAATAAAATAAACAGAAAAGGCAAAAAGGAAGGAGAATTGCATTGCTTCAGGCCTTTACGCATGCTGGATCTGAGTCCTTGATTCATACTGTTAACAGACGCTGCAGACGCGTCTGTAGAAGCCATCCAAATCTCTCATTGCGCATCTGACCATGGCAGTCTGCCGCAATATCCTAATTCCGAGGCAGCGAAAGGAAGTTCAGTCTGCTGGCATGGAGATGGAGAGTGCCAGCTCACTTTCCCCAAGCCTGCAGCGTCAACCTTTTGGGTCACCAGAAGAGCGGGTAAAACTCCGCCTTTATCTTTGTTTCCAAACTCTAAGCAAACAGGAGTATGGCATCGGCACCCTTAATGCCACCAAGGGCAGGTCAGGATGCCACCCGGTTGCGGGTCATGGACCCGCTAGACAAAGGCAGGGCACCAGGGTTACATTTACACATTTATGTGAGTGTAACGAAGGGCAGGCGTAGAGAAAGGGAGAACGGGCCCTGAGAGTGCTCAGGAAGCTGTCCCCACACCCTTGGCTTGCATCCAGCTGGTCCCTGTTGGTATCATCACCCGGAGGGGGGGGGAATCCTTGTGCAGCTGCTGGGACTGGTTTCCATAGGGCAGGGGTCCCCAACACGGTGCCCACGGGCACCGGCCAAGTGTTTTGAGAAAGCGGACGGGGCCAGGTGGGTCTTTTGCCCAGGAAGGCTAGAGATCGGCTGGGCAGATTTTTAAAAAATGTTGCTTCAGCAGCAGCTGCCGCCACAGCATGAGGCTCCTCACCATGTGACCAATGGCAAGCTGGGGCGACCATTTTGTAGCCGGCTCCAGCTCCTGTGGCAGCCATTTTGTGCCAGCCATTTTGTGGCTGTGCCCGCCACCCTGAGTCAGAATTCCAGAAGTGCCCACAGGCTCAAAAGGGCTGGGGACCCCTGCTGTAGGGGTTTCATTCGGGGAGCTTTTTAAAAAGGTTTTTTTATACAACCTCCTCCGATCGGTGCCCTTCCTGCGCAACGGAGCCTGCCAAGGCCGACTGCCAGCCAGTCCTGATTCTAATCCATTGCCTAATTAGCCGGCCATGACCAGGGAGAGATTAATTGTGAGCAGCCTTTAATCAAGCCTAATGCAATTAAACATGCCCACTTAAGTCTGAAACGGGGAGGGGGGCGCGGGAGAGGACGGGGAAGGCAGAAGGGGGGGGCGATGTCGCAGGGCTGAATCCAGAAGACGAGGGATGAAGGAAGACAGGCCCCCTGTCAGGGCAGAGCACAGATCCGCGGGCACTACGGTTCCCCTCCCAAATGGCAGGGAAACCCAGGCGCTGCCCTTTCATGAGATTGTTTCCCTGGAGAGGAGAGGTGAGCGGAGGAGATTTATGGCCCTTTTGTCATATCTGTTTATTTACAGGCAGGTTTGAGCAGGAGGAAGCGGGCCTGGAGCCCAGCAGGTGCCGGTCCCGCAAGCAGTTCAGGTTCACCCCCAGCCCACCCCAGGCAAAAAGCGGGCCTCTGGGACTCCACCTGTCTCCCCCGGCTGCAAGGGCTCAGCCTTCTGTCTCCTCTGCGGGCCGCCTTCCAAACTGCTGAGCTCCGTGTGCGTTTGTCCGTGCGGTACGGCTAGTAAGCTACCAGCCACCGGCAGCCAGCGAGCATCTCCTTTCCCTCATTGCCCAAGAAGAAATAATTCTTAGCTCTCTCAGCTGATAGAAAAACCTAAAGCCGGCACAGTGCTTTGCACACCTGTAAAAGAGCTGGTGTGATGCTCCAGGGGGAACTCTCTGTGCAAAATTGTGTTTGTATAGTGAAGGAGATACCGTGGGGTGAGTTCCATTCCCCAGATACTTAGTCTGGATGCATCCTGGGTCAAGGAGGCTTGCCTTTGGTGCTGGAGAAGGGAGCCTCCAACCCAACTGCACTTCCAAACAGTGTTCTCTCTAAGCTGAGTCAGTGTGAGCTAGCTCGCAGTCTTTTGGCCTTTGCCTCACACATTTTTGTCTTTGCTCAGGAAGGATGAGTTCCAGAGCAAACTAATTGATGCAGTAGCCAGATCGCTCGCTCACAACTTTAATGCCAGTAGCTCACAAAGTAGAATTCTTGCTCACAAGACCCCACAGCTTAGAGGGAGCATTGCTTGCCTGTAAGAATTCAGGGCGGGGATCCCGAGACCACTCCCCACCCCGCCCCCTTCCGCTCCCCAGGGAGGCCACACAAGCATTGTTTGGGGCAGCCGGTTCCCCAGAAGTCTGCCAGCCTATTCTTAACTCTCTTCCAAATCCCTTGAGTGAATCCCGTGGAGAAAGAATTGGAGGAAGGGCGGGGTGTGTGTGTGGCGGTGGAAATATGCAGTGTGGGGGCACGCTCATCAATCAGTTCACAAGCCCCCCCCCCTTTCCTTTGGCTGGCTAACAAAGAATGGGCTGCTTTGCAAAGGATTCTGGGAGGGACAATGCGGCCTGCCTATTCAACAGCCCGAACCCTGGTTCTCCGTCCACCCATCCCAGTTTTCCAGAGCCTAGGGTAAACATACCAGAGGGCACCAAGGGGCAAAACATTTTTGTCCTTTTGTAATGGAAATGGGGCTTGGGGAAGGAGGGGAGCTTTGCCCCCTAATTAGCCCTTCCCTGCACAGCCCGACAGAGCTCAGTATTTATTAGATGGGTGACACGCAATCCTTTGTGTCTCTTTTGGGGAAGGGGAGGGAGAAGAGGGCAGTGGCGACTGGTAACCGTATGGACGACACGCTTTGCATGTAATATCCTCCCTCTGAATGTAGTGTGCTCGGTAGGTTCAGAGAGAGGGGAAAGCTGGCCGGTGGAACCGGAGGTGGAAGAAACAGGCTGTTGCAGCCAGTCCCCGCTTGACAACTTATTTTGTTCATTCATTATTTATTTACGTGATTTATAGTCCACCTTTCTCACAGGGAATCAAGGCGGGTTAGACATGGCGAGTCAGTACAGTCTTCAAAGTGGGACATTCAGTAACCAACGCTTTAGGGTTTTAGAAGTCTGGAACCCCCGGGAAAGAACTGAAGCTTAGCCTAAGTGTTTTAACATGATACACAGGGAAAGACGGGGGTTGGTTTGGTGTAATGGTTAGGAGAGTGGACTCTGATCTGGGAGAACCGGGTTTGATTCCCCACTCCCTCACATGCAGCTGGCTGGGTGACCTTGGGCCAGTCACAGTTCTCTCAGAGCTGTTCTCTCACGAGCAGTTCTTGAAAGAGCTCCCTCGGGCCCACTTACCTCACAGGGTGTCTGTTGTGGGGAGGGGGAGGGAAAGGAGATTGTAAGCCGCTCTGAGACTCCTTCGGGTAGTGAAGGGTGACATATAAATCCAATCTCCTCCTCTTCTTCTCGTGTAAAAAGCATCATGCTGTTGGACACATGAAGCTGTCATAGGCTGAATTGGACCACTGATCTATCGGAGTCAGGATTGTCTATTTTGCCAGGGTCCCCCTGGCAGAGGTCTTTCACATCGTCTGTTACCGCCTCCTTTAAACTGGAGATGCCGAGGATTGATCTTGGGACGTTCAGCATGCCAAGCAGGTGCTCCACCACTGAGCCAAGGCTATCGTTGCCAGCCTCCAGGTGGAGGCTGGAGATCTCTTGCTATCAGTTCACCTGGGGAAAATGGCCGCTCTGGAAGGCAGTCTCTATGCCATTATACTCCATTGAAGTTCTTCCCCTTCCCAAACCCTGCCCTCCTGAGACTCCACCCCCCAAAATCTGCAGATATTTCCCATCCCAGAGCCAGCAGCCCTCGCCGTGGTGCCTGTGTCGGTGCAGGGATGGGGACATTCCCTGGCCCCTCCGGTTCAAGCATCTCTGCTTCCAGGGCTGGGAAAGGACAGGGCTGTTCTGCCTAAGACTGTGGAGAGGCGTTGCCAAAAGGGATAGGTGGGCAGGTGTCTGCTCCTCCTGGCGGCTTTGTGTGTCTTTGGGCTTCCGCGGGTCTGTTTCTGCCTCAGCTCCCCCAAGGTCAGTAACCATGCAGGATGTAATGTACTCCGCCATTACCACGTGCGCGACCGTTGGGCCATGCGGTCTAGCAAAGCCTGAAGCTTCGCTCTAAGAGAACAATAGAACAGCGGATCCTAGCCCGCACCTATCAGAGGGCCAGGTCCGCAGCCGAGAGCCTATGGGACTCTCGGCTACTGTAAATAGCCTATAGGGAAATAGGGGTGTGTTTTGGTGGTGGGTTTTCTGTGCATATATACCGGCCTGCGAGCAGGCTTACTTTGTCTTGTTCCTGCTTAAATAAAGTACTCTTGCTGAAATCACTCCACGTCTCTGAGTACTTTTCACAGGAGTATCTTTCTTAACCTCTCACAGTTTTTCGGACTGCATTCTCTGAACGCTGTCTGTCTGCAGGGTCAGGTGGGGAAGGAGGGGGGCACACACACACCACCTTTTAATTGGGAAAAGGACAGGCCTTCAGGCAGAGACTTCGGAAAAACAAGAGGTAGAGCCACCGCCCCCCCCCCCAGTTCCTGTGGGGGTGGAAAACAATGAACAGATGGGAGGTGAAGAGCTGAACTGTTTGAATCCTGGTTTGCTTCAGCACGTTCTGCTTCTCGTTTCTTTTAGTGTGTGGCCAGCACACCCTATTAAGTTTCTACCTCTGCCCCCACCATTTGCTTGCAGGAAGCTGGAGGACGCTCACAACCGCTTCATGGATGAGAAGGACCGAAGCATAACTCAGATTTACAACACGAACAAGGAGCAAGCCAGGTATGGATTAGCGGGGTGGGGTGGAAACTGGAACTTTTTGTCTCGCTAGGCTTGGTGGCCTCTCTCCTCTTTGGGCCTCACCCCCACTCCCACGCTGTGCCCCATCACAACCGTCATCCATCCCCAGCGTGCCACGGTGCAAATGTGCTGGCTGGCTTACTCTGTGCAGTCGTTTCACTGCCCTTAGTCACAGGGATGGGGGGGGGAGCTCTGGATGGCCCTGAAGCTCCACCCCCTGACAACTCCTGAAACCTTCCCATCCTCTGGCTGCAGAGATTCTAACAGGCTTTCCCAACAAATAGTAAGGCTTACTTTCACAGCCCCGAGGACTAGAAGCTTGCTAAATTGAGATTTGCCAGAATGCTGGCTGTGGCACCAGATGACAGCGTGGTATAGCGGTTAAAGTGTCGGACTAGGATCTGGGAAACCCAGGTTCGAATCTCCCCACTCTGCTACGGAAGCTTGCTGGGTGACCTTGGGCCAGTCACACACTCTCAGCCTAATCTACCGCACAGGATTATTGTGAGGATAAAACGGGGAAGAGGAGAATTGATGTAAGCAGCTCTGGGTCCCCATTGGGGTGAAAGGGTAAAAATAAAGTAAAATACCAAACTCCATGCTTTTCTGTGCAGAATCAGTGACTGTATACTCCATTACATATTTTTAAGAAGATATCTTCTTTGGGAGATAGGCAGATATATGCACAACTGGATGGTTCATAACAGTGTGAAGAGACAAGAGGAGTCAGCTGGGGTGGAAGAAGTTCTGCCCTTACCCCTGAGAATGATTGGCTGTGCTGTTGCAGCTTCCCCCGAAGAATCCTGGGGGTTGTAGTTTGCTGAAGGCACTGAGACTTCCACAGCAGAATAAAAACAGGAGTCCAGTGACTCTTGAAAGGTTGATAATGTTTATTCCAGCATAAGCTAGTCACCGCTCTCTGCGTCAGGCGCATAAAGCAGTCATCGGTCAGCCAGACGTATTTAGATAGAAAGCTGCAGACAACAGGAAAGGCAGAGCAGTAATAGCCTCTCCCAGGGGAATGCTGGGAACAGAGCAGGCTCCCAGAATTCCCTTGGGAGAGGCTGTTACTATAAAACCAGGTCTGTAGTATTAGAAGGCCAGTGGGACGTCATAACAACATCGCCATTGGGATCTTTGGTTCATAGAGCAGAGTTTTGCCCAGTCACAGAAGCATGCTACCGAATGCAGTAAATAAGTCTCCCGAGAAGCATATTGCAAAAAAAGAGGCAAACTTAACATTTATTCAAGTAGATCCAGTTCCCATTCAGGTTGCCGTCAAAAGAAGAGAAAGAAGCCTCATCTAAAGAGTACTTTCCCTCTCCCAAATGGCCAGCTTTCCTGGCTGGAAACCAACAAGTAGAGAAGAAGTCAAGGCCCCACCAGCAGTAGCAGCGGAAAAGAAAAAAACACGGTGTAAATCGAGGGATCAAGAAAGAATAAATAGCTTTCTACACCCGGTTTTTCTTTTCTGCTGCAGCTTGTCCGGCATCGTGTGTGGGAGTGTGAGGGCATTGTCTCTGTGGGAGAGACCTGCAGAGACATGTGTATCCATGGAAGGCCGTGTGAGATGAGTGAGAGGACAAAGCCAGAGAGGAGGGGTTAGAGAGCGGCTCCCAGGTTAAGACAAAAGAGAGGCATCCCATTCAAGGAGATAACACCTACGCACACTTAGAAAGACGTAGCACCCCCCTGATGTCCAGACATGCTGAGTCGCTCACTCCAGCCATAACAACATAAGAGCAGACCTGCTGAATCCGACCAGTGGTCCATCTACTCCAGCATAGATGCCACAGGGAAGCCCCCAAGCAGAGGTCACCAGCGACGGTCCTCACCCCGGCATCTGACAGAAGTATTCTGCCTCTGACTCTAGAGGACGCATTCAGCTATTATGCCTATGAACTAGTGGATACTGAATATTAATTCCACCCTCCATGAATTTTTCTGGCTTCTTGTGGCAGGGAGTTCCACAAGTCAATTTGCCATCTTACAAAGTAGCACTTCCTTCTGTCTTTCGTGACTCTGCCCCCACCAGTTTCAATAAAGTGACCCTAAATTCTAGCATTAAGGGGGGGGGGATTCCTCTTTATACATTTTCTCCGCACAGTGCAGAGGTTTGCAGACCTCTTTATCGTTTCCCCTCCCCCACCCTAGCACTCACTGCCGTTTCCCCTAAATTAAAAGCCCTATGCCCCCTGACCTGGATGGCCCAGGCTAACCCAGTCTTGGAAGCTAAACAGGGATGGCCTTCGTTAGTACTTGGATCAGTGTTCCCTCTGAGTTAGTGTGAGCTAGCTCACAGTTTTTTAGCCTCCGGCTCACACATTTTTGTCTTCGCTCAGGAAGGACGGCTCCAGAGCAAACTTAATTTATGCAGCAGCCAAATCGCTCGCTCACAACTTTTAACGCCAGTCGCTCACCAAGTAGAATTTTTGTTCACAAGACTCCACCGCTTGGATGGGAGACCCCCAAGGAAGTCCTGGGTTGCTAAACAGAGCCAGGCAATGGCAAACCACTCCTGCTCCTCTTGTTCCTCTCTTGCCTTGAAAACCACAAGTCAGCTGCGAGTCGACAGTGCTTTCCAGCACCAAAAGGTCACACATCACAACTTAGGCTGTCACTGCTTTTTCTGAGGACCTTGTTTTAGCACTTAACAGAATCCAGCCCAAGACGCGTACACGTGGGCTACGAGAACTGTTAGATCTTCGACGTGGTCTCTGTGCTTCACACCCATGGGATCTAGTGTGCACGCGCTGGATCGATCGGTGCTGTAGCAAGCTCTTTTAACGGATTTTCGCGCCCAGTTCCTCGAGCATGCGCAGGAACCCCACCGCGCATGCCCAAAGGGGTGGGCGTGGACATCCCGCCATTTCCTTTCTTACCGCCACGTTGAATAGACCTCTTCTTCGTCGGTCTGATAGGTTCGCTGTTAGCTCACCTCACAGCTCTTAGGAATTATTTCCAAACTTCTTTTACTTTATTTATTGTTTGTTTCTTCTTCAAAAACAGTTTAAAAAAAAATTTTTTTTGCTTTCGGTTGAGGGGAGTTTACCTCAGGCCTTCGGGCTACCCCCCCCCTCAAACGTTCCCTCATCTTCTTTTCTTTTATGGAGAAGAAGTTGGGATTTTTTAATAGGTGCAGGGGTTGCAGTAGCAAACTTGCTCCTCCCGACCGCCATACCCGCTGCATTTTTTGCCTCGGATAGTCTCACCAGCCAGAGTCCTGTCGCCACTGTGCACGTTTCTCCAACCAAACGAGAAAAAACCGTGCTGCGCGCCTTAAAGTGGCGCTGCTTGAATCGGCCCTTGCTCCTACCTCACGATAGAGGAGAGACCGTCAACATCGACAGCTCCGGCATCGAGACCCGCCTCCGATGTCGACCGCCCGACGCCGAAGCTATCGGCATCGAAGGCACAATTGTCCGCTTCCACGCCAATCAAAAAGAAGGCTAAGGCATGTAAGGATCACAAGTCCACGAAGAAGGGCACCCTCCAAGTCCCTTAAGGCGGCAAAGAAGGGGAAGGAAGCAGTGCCTGCACTGGGTGATGCCCCTATAGTGCCTCCCACTTCAATGGCAGTATCGATATCGGAGGCACAACTCCCACTGCCGATACCGACCATCCAACTACTGGATTCCCCCATCCAACAAGTGGAGCGTCCGTACTCCGACATCGACACGGCAGAGCTCCTAAATCACCAAATGGGTGCATAGCT